CGAGCATATCAACACAATTGTGTATAAAATAAAATATACAAAACTATATTCTAGAATTTTAAATCATTTCTGATGGAGGGTTTTTAAATACTTAATAAACATTAAAGATATTTGCATAAATGATTTGATGTTTTAGTATGGCTTGGCCTTTACTTGTTGTTGCCTTCAATTTAAAATTAACTTTAAATTTTCCTGTTTCTCAAACCATTTCTATGAATAAAATAATATTTATAATTTGTTTTGTTATATTACTAGAGACCGATACGTTTACTTAGCGAAGAGAGAGAGGGAGAAATGGGGTTTAACAACAACTCGACACAAACTATGTCATTTCGGGCTAACATATAGTTCAGTTTTATTTTATTAAATCGCTTGCGCGTAGGGGTCTTAAGCAGTGGGAGGAAACCGGAGGACCCGGAGAAAACCCACCCCCCTACTCAGCAAAGACTAGGTTATGGTACTTGATATATATTAGGGAGTCCCGATTGGATATCCATCTGTTGAAGTGTTACATATTGGACTGGACTGATATAATTATAGCAGGAGAGAGGGTATCATTAACTGTTAGGTTGGGTGGATATCTATTGAAGTGTTATATACTGAAAGTTATCAGGAGGGATGGTATCATTAACTGTTAGATTGCTATAATTAAATAGAATGTGACACTTGAATTAGATTAGATTAAGTAGATTTAAACGAGGTTAGATTTAGACACCTAGACTATAATATTGATGTAAGATTTGATTAATTAGTCCACAGATCCAATTAATCCTCGGGATATTTAACAGTTTAAAGTATTGGTCATAAACATGCGCAGGATGTTTATCGGTATGGCGATTTTGGGTCGTTATATAGTCTAGCTCTTTACTTGTAAAGGTGGGGGGGGGGCAATGGTTAGCACGTGCGCGTCTGTCATTAGTGGTTGGGCTATTATAATTAAAGAGAATATGATTATGACAGGAACCGAATAACTTTGTGTGCATGTTCATCTCTACTCCCGTTTTATCGCTTTCAGGGAAACGTGTTTATTTTCCGGGCCAACATTCTGCAAATAAATAAAAATTAATACTGCAAATACAAATCAGTTGGGGTGTAGCCTACATAGCCGTAGCGCCACCTCATTGGAACATATACTGCGGTAACATAACCAGTTCAAAATTCCAAATACAAAATTATGGTGTGTTCAGATTACGGCTGATCATTTATTAGTATGTAGTTGGATGAAAATAACAACGCAATTTATTGCTTTGCACTATGCATGTTTAGTGCTGAAAGGATTTTAATTATGGAATGTATCGTCGCTAATACACCGGTGTAGGATCCTGGACCTCCAGTAAAACGAGTCATTACCGACTGAGCCACCATGAAAACCTGACAGCAAATGTAAATCTTTTCTTCGATCTTAGACTCATGTCTTTAATTATTTTCAGAACGCGAATCTTGGATCGCTTCCAAGGTTTACAATTGGCTGTATACGACCCCTCCCAGCAAGTAATAATCGGTGGTACTCTCGAAAAGGTTGAATTGTTTTCTGAATTGTAAAAGGTCCGTGTTTCTTCCACGTTTTTGTAGAAAACTCTGACATAAAAACCCTTAGCAGTTGGAATTAGATATACGAGTAGGCCATAGCGACGCGGTACAAGTAATATACGCTCTCATAGCACATTGTATGGCGTGTGCCTGTCTTCATTATGCCAGTCGAGGCAGACCAGTAGGACGTTAAATCCCATTTTCGACAAAACGCTACACTTTTTATGTTGCACAATCAGTTGATATAGCTGTATTGAACTAACTGTATTGATTATGTTGCCAACATTGAGTCGTTCGGGTGTGGCGGAAATCTAGGTCCAGTGTAGAAATACACATGCACGTAAAAGAACCCTTGGCGGTTGGAATTCGATATACGAAAGGACATTACGCCGGTGTTCGCGCAATGTCCCGGCGCAGCACGCTGCTTGTATGTCTTCATTAGCCCAGTCGGTGCTGAACAGTTGGAAAATAAACCCCATTTCAATTCATTTTTGATAAAACCTACATTTTCTTGTGGTTGTTACTTCGCATCAGGGGGATCCCGCGGCTAAGTGGGTAAGACGCTGGCTCACTAGCCTGGAGGTCGGGTGTTCGATCCCTGCATTGGCCGAGAAAGTTCATCCAGATTTTTCGGCGTGGTTTCCCCTTGTCAGTGATGCAAGACGGAGGGCCTGACAAGGACAGCTGTCTAGTCCTTCGGATAAGACGAAAAACCGAGGTCCCGTGTATATACTGGCAGTTGGAATTCGATATAAGAATAGGCGATAGTGCCGCTGCCCGGGCGAAATTTCCCTCATAGCACACTGTATGGCGTATGCCCGTCTACATTTGCCCAGTATAGGAGCAGAACAGTAGGACGTTAAACCCCATTTCATTTCGTTTCATACTTCGCATCATCGATTAACATAACTGTATTGAACTAAAGGGGCGTAATTTTCAAGGTTACAAAGAGTTATATCCCTCCGTAGAATTTCCGATACAGCTCCGATTTTATTTGAATTAAAGAAATGTTTGCCCTGCGTGGTTAAATTAAAATGTTAGGGCGCTGGTGGGAATGGGGCGAGGAAAGAGTGTGATAACGCCTACGTTTTCACCTGATAATCATGCCTATGGAATTACAGCTTTTTCAAAATGTGTTAGGTTTGCTTTATATGCAGCAATCGAGGACTCACATCAGGATTTAAGCCTTCTAATTAAGAACATGACACGACCCGAACCGAGGACGTCCTCGATTAGAACTGACTATCCAGGCATGCTTATCACGACAAACTGAATTGTGTATCAGCTAAATTTAAGATGATCTCCTTTATTAATACAAGGTTCCCGTTTAATGGTTACACTACACACACACATGCATAGTCACGTGACAGTCAATTATTGGAGTGACGAACACCACTTTGAGCAGTAAGTGAAAACTAATACTATATTCCTAAAAACATATATTTTAGTCACTAATGTACCTCTATATCCCTGTATATGTTTGACCTCGAATGACCTATTTAATACACCCCAAAATTCAACATGCGATAAACATTCGAATTAAGACTTACCTTGACTAACTGTATATCAAATACAAACTTAGCGTTGTGGTCGGATGTATATGTCTCCTCCCACCTTTATACCTTTCTCATTTAATCTGACACCGGCAATGTAATCGGCTTGGAATTCTTTCCATTCTAAATTAATAACCGGGTATAATATAGTTTGTCCGTGATTCATGCTGGTTCCAGCATAGAGTATGTTCATGATCGAGAATGTCTTAATTTGGACGGAAGAGAATCAACTGCACATTGTGTCCCCTTTCTTTTGTGGAATTTCCACAACTCTCAACAACACAAACATAATGTGTCATTTTATAATTCACTTATAATTAACGTCTTACTATTCTGCTCATTCCAGGCTAATGACGATGAGCATACGCCATACAGTGCCATGAAGGAAATTTTGCACGGACAGCGGCCTCAGGCCTGTTCTTATTTCGGATTCCAAATGACAAATACGCCAATAAGTACACAGTACCTTTTTCCGTACGATATGAACGACTAAAAGCTACCCTATCCCCTAGTCCTGCCCAACTGACACACGGAGAAACCATACCGCAAAATCCCGAGGAACTGTAACGGCCCAAGTGTTAGCGAGCAAGTGTCTTAGATCCTTACATCCACCAGACAAATGGAATAAAATGAAATGGGGTTTCACGTCCCACTGTGTCACCAGACACGTACAACTACTGTAGTTAGATTGAACCATTTCACGTGAGATATATTGACGAATTACTCTCTATAGACAAATTTTCTTTCATAATACATTACTCGTTTCTTTGAGTTGTTTAACAGACATAACAGTGACAACAACATGTTGAGACGACTACAGACCAGAATAGGAATATTTAATGTTTAATAACATAGTGATAATTTCAATTTTATTGCCAACCCTTTCAGAATATTTGAAAGAAATATCCCACGCAGGATGTTAACCTGTTTTCGGTTAATATTCCGGTTCAATAAAACAAATAACAAGACATGCCTTGGCTTGGCTTTATTTATTAGTTACAATTTATTACGTTGATCATTTACTTTAAATACTACAATTCAATACTACACATCTTACACTAGAATCTGTCGAAGTCAGCTAGTGTTGTGAAAACCCGTGTGTGTAACACTATGTTAGTGATGACAGCTGCCAGTTTAGTAAATATATGATTTATTTACATCGGAACAGACTATAAAACAACTACATAAATACAACAAGAACTAAAACTACAGCAAGAATATAAACGATAACATTAAGACAACCATTTCGTCCTTCTGCCTCGGCAGCAGCTGAATTCGAGTCCATAGGCCGATCCCCGCTCTTCTCCCACTCTCGTTTGCACCTCGTCTATGCTAGTCTAATTGTCAGCAAACTCCTTGTTATATAGCCTCCGACACTAGGAAAAATAGATAAGTCTCATGATCATATATGGAATTGTCTATTTATGACGTCATGTTTAATTAGAACGTGACTAACAGAAGTATATACAGAAGCACCGAAATAATCGTTCAATTTGATGAAACTTATAGTTTACTTTGTCACATGTGTGCGTTGGTGTGTGTGTGGTGGGGACGGGGATAAGATACTTGGTTAAATATTATGGTGTTGGTGGGCTTGATAACGATTTCCACCATTCCATACCTCTCACACCAAACAGAACACTACCACCACAACACCCACCACACCATCACTCCAACATGTTACCATTTTACTTTAACTAAATAGTCCACCCACACAACCTACTCAAGAACAATAAGACAACTGGCAATACATTCTGGTTTAACGCCTATCAACCCCCCCCCCCTCCCGACCCTAGCCTTATCCCCCCTTTCAAGTTGATCATTATATTTTACTAGAAGTAGTACCTAACCTCCTTCAGATTTATGCCACCCACTATACCCCACCCACCCCTTTTTAATGTGCACAATGCTTTAATGTGCACAATGCACGAAAGACGTGTGAAGAATCCCATCAAATATCACCATATTTTACTATGCGTAATAGTAAACCCAGTCCTGGTCTAAAACCCCAAGTTCTTCCAAGCTATAGTCGTTCTTGTGGATGTTATATCTTTTGTAGACATATATCCAACTCCCATCTTTATAGCTCTCTATAACAATGTGGCCAATCTTGACATTCTTCTTCTTTTCTATCAACCTCTTTAAATCATTGACACTGACTTTCTTACTGACAGTTATAGAATCCACAACTTCATATTTGTGACTATAAATACAGGTTAATATATTAAATTATATCATTATCAACTGGACGTCTATAAACACATTATATTATATTGTATTGTTTTATTGTATTATGCAATAATTATATTATATTATATTATATTAAAGTTAACACTCTTGTTACAGTTTGTAAAGTTTCAAAATCACCACATATATTTTAATATGAACACATTTACTTACTTGTCCACTGCGTTTAGAGTAATATCATCACTCGTTTTCCTCTTACAACATCCATTATTAGTGTTGGTCGCAACTTCTAATTGTTCTATAACTTTCTTCTTAAATGCTTCCAGGTCAGCCATCCTGTCTTTTACTTCTTTCATTTCTTGATCGTTTCTTCTTTCCAATTTTGAAATCAAGTCATTTATTTCAGACTGGGTGCTATTTTCAATTATTGTGTTGTCTGTACCACACTGTAGAGTATGACAATCGCCATGAATGTGGATTACGGTTGGTGACTAGAATAGAAAATGAACCAGTCCCTACTTGTAAATACTGTTACAACAATATCTCTCTTCTTAGATATGATAATGATCGACAAATATATCTGAAATAGAGCATGAATACAACCAGCCCCACTTAGATATGATAATAATCGACAAATATTACTATCGGAAATAGAGCATGAATACAACCAGTCCCCACATAGATATGACAATCGTCGACAAATATATCTGAAATAGAGGTGTAAAGTATGAAAACGATGTAAACAGTTTTCATAAAGGAATTAAGTAGAATACTATGTGAATTTCGGTCGTGTTCATTCCGCCGCGACGTGTGAATCTCGTTGGAGTTCTGCAGAATGCATGACAAAACGGACCAAAACCAGTCGGCCACACAAAAAGCCACTTGGACCAAGACAGAACACCACTTGGACCAAGACAGAACACCACTTGGACCAAATAATAATAAAAGACTACTCAATATATTTTTGTTAATTTATTATAAAAGGATTTAAATCGCTATTCTTTGGCACCTAGAAATGGACCCACAAATGGATCGCAGCGCATATACTAATGTATTATGAATGTACATAAACGGAATAACATTCAATCGTTTCTGTTTTTAGTGTAATTTCCAATCAGTTACGTTAGGAGAAATACGCCAAGAGTCCCAAATGATTGGCAGTCTTTGGCGACTGGTTATTCCAGTCTACACCGTACGGCTCCAAGCAAATCAATCTTTATTACATCAATAAATGGAACGTACATATGTAGCTCACAACATGGTTCACTTGGTAATTTGCTGCCTTTTCTTCTAATTGTGAAATGTTTGAAGAATGTCTATAGGACGGACAGGGATTAACGAGCATATAATATGTTGTATTTGTATATATTATTGTGCTGATCGTAATTATTGTTCTAATCAATTTGATTAGCTTATAACACGGGTAAGTATATAATATTTAATACGCTTGAACGTGACAGGGAGTAGGGTCGCCTGTCCCACCTTGTGGGTTTTCTCCAGGTCCTCTGGTTTCCTGCTACTGCTAAAGACCCCTACGCGCAAGCCAATTATTGAATTAAAATTGAACCATACTTTAGTCCCGAAAAAACGTCGAGTGGACGTTACCCCCCCCCCCCCTCTCTCTCTCTCGCTCTCTCCACACACACGGGGACAACGTTTCTCAGGTAAAATGCCTAGATCTTACCAACCTAATCATAATTTCATGCAACCGTGTGAATTGTCACGTGATTGGGGTAGTAATATTATGCCTAGGGCAAACAGCATAACAGGATGTTTACGTTCATTAAAATTACACTTGGAAAGCCCTCTTTCTTTCAATTTAACAAGCAATCACTTGTTACACAATAAACACTTGTACACAACAAGGTAGATGTGGGTTATTTTTTATGTCAAGTCGTGGAGATTTTGCACTCGAGGGTATAGGGAAACATGGTGGCCCCGTGAGTAAGACGTCGAGTGGACGCCCCTCCCCCCCCCCCCGCTCTCTATCTCTCTCTTAAGAATAATAATTAATCAGATGTCGATGTTTTGTTAATCAATTTTTTTATGTGCTTCATTATAAGTAAATGACAAGGGTAGTACTTAACACATTTTATTATTTCAAAGAAAACAGATGTAGTAAAATAAACACAAGATGACTAGTCATCACCATCCCGTGTCCTGGTACTTGTTTGGAAAGCATAAGGGAAAACAACTTCTTGGAATATCAATGGGACTAGTCAGAAGATTCAATATCCCTCCCTAACTTCGTTCGGCGCGGGATACCAGTTTATTAAAACAACACTTATTATTTCAAACACATACGGACACAAGTGGTCTTCTAATCTTGGTCCGACTGGTCCTCTAGATTACCCCGAGTGTTCTCCTGTTGGTCTTACTAGTCTGTGTCCGAGTTCGCGGGCAGAGGGAGAGACATTGGGTTTAACGCTCACTCGACGGAGGATTTGGAGAAAACCCAAGAGGATTGCCAGACAACCCTCTTCCTTGTCACGTACAAACGGGGAATCGGAACCACGCAGTTCTTTTTAAAAAAAACATGTTTCAAAGGGCAATACTACGTAAATCTAAACCAGTGTACACATGTTCTTGTAAATTGTTATATCTCATAGGTGTAGCAACACTAGCTGTATACATACACTGCTTTGTGCACTCACTCGTCAATATTTGTATTCTACGAGAGGTAAGAAATGAAATGAAATGGGGTTTAACGTCCTACTGTTCTGCTCCTATACTGGGCTAATGAAGACGGGCATACGCCAAACAGTGTGCTAAGAGGGAAATTTTGTCCGGGCAGCGGCACTATCGCCTACTCTTATATCGAATTCTAACTGCCAAGGGATCTTTTACGTGCATGCCAATGTTTACACCGGACCTCGGCTTTTCGTCTCATCCGAAGGACTAGACAGCTGTCATTGTCAAGCCCTCTGTCCTGCATCACTGACAAGGGAAACCACGTCGGAAAATTGTGATGAACTTTCTCGGCCAATGCAGGGATCGAACACCCGACCTCCAGGCTAGCGAGCCAGCGCCTTAACCACCTAGCCGCCGTGGATCCACGAGAGGTAAAACAATGATTATCAAGATTATGATGGTTATCAAAACAACATTTAACATCTAGTATTATTTTATAAATATGACGTAGTTGTACTTACTGTTGTAGACATACTTAAAATAATTACAACTGCATTGTATTGCTGGGGAAACCTTCTTCTATTTCTGGGACAACTTTCTACCACTCAAGTTCTCCTTTGACTGTTATAAAAACACAGATAAAATACTGTACTACTGTACTAAGGTTCTAAAAAAAATGGCCCCTTGGGAAAACCTAGTGTATGCATTATTCATGAGTTATAGTCTTGTATAACTTGTCTCACTGTTATTTACGTTGAGTGAGATTGCATACTTGACATAATTGTAATAATAACCACTTTCGAAAAAAAATAATATAATGCAGGCCCGTACCTGTATTGGGGCAAGGGCTTCTGTGGCTCCGATATACCTACACTTGACGTTCCACGACCAACGGCACTGTGAACGCGCCGCCCGTCTGAGAAGGGTCTAGGGTGCTTTTCCCCAAGAAATGTTTGGAAAATACGGTTTGCACCCGAGGAGAACTATGAAAATGACGTAAAATTTCAATTTTGGGGCTGAATTTGCGATATTGGCGTGTTATGAAATTTTGATATGAACATTATAAAACTTTCAAGGAAGGAATACGACTTATGAGAAAAACGAAAAGTTCGGAATCTGGTTAGAGTGCGACTTGTTGGAATTGTGAAGATTATCACGCCTGGTGCGAGCTTGAATCAATCTCATCCCCATCGTGAATTTGACCTGGAAAATTTCCTACAATCTCCAGTTGGCTCTCTTATGGTAGATTTCTTCGTGCGTCGGTATGCGGTCGGTCTCTTGGTTGGGCGCCCTTGATCTCATCGTGTGCGGCCTAACGATCTCGGCAGGTCGTGGGCACCCAATTCATCTCATTCGGCATTATGCATTTTGTGTGGCAGCTGACCCCCACCCCACCCCCGCTAGCTACGGACCTGTAATAGAATATGGTGTTTAAGATGACCTAAATATTTCAATAGCCATTTTCGTTCGATAAACAATGTAATTGTGACTTAAAAAACGCATATAAAAATGTCCCGATGTTTACGATAACCTAAATATATGCAAAAGACACGAAAAAACCAGTCTATTCATACGTTTTACGTCAGTTTGTAATATGGGCAACGCCTTTCAATTATTATGTATACCCATTGTAGGTATTAATCATAAGTTAATAGTCTTGTATAACTTGTCTCACTGTTATTCAAGTTGGGGGAGATTGAATACTTGTAATATTGTAATATTTCTATACCCATGGATGGCCATTTTCAATAAAGAATATATTCGATTATGGTGTTCTAAACATTCCAATAGACATTTTCGATAAAGAATACATGTATAATTGTGACTCTTAAAAACGAATATCAAAATGTCCGCAATTATCTGATCAATGGATATTCAGTTGTGTCTGGGTAACGTAGTCTATGTAATGCAAAATAAACGGAAAACCCAGCCTAGATATCAAGTAAGCGTGTAATATGGGGCAACGCCTTCCAATTATTATGTATTTTGACCTTTAAAGCTGATTACAAAACTACAGAAATAATTAAATAAAAAAATGTTAAGGCCGTAAATAATCGCCATACTTGTTTTCAATTTGTAGAACAAAGATGACGAATGTACGGCGTACCAAAACAGCGGCAGGCCACGCCCACATCCAGTATAATAATAATAACTTTATTTAATGAAGCAATTCATTTAGCTTGCAAAAAAAACTAACCTTTCATAAGTCCCTCCAAAGCTAGAAAGAAATATATACATGTAATATCAGGATAAATTCAAAATCATTTGAAATGCAATAGCATTTTAAAGTGAGAAGTTTGGGTTAGTAATTCACTCCTACACTACAAAACATATACACGTAAAATATAGGAAGAGCATTATAATTACACACAAAATAAGATAGAATGCAGTCGCGAGTTAAATATATACGAAAAATAATAAGTATATCATCACTTAAATATTATGTTTCTTCAGTGCTCAATATAAATGAGTGTTCAGTTTAATCTTAAAATTTTCAACATTTTTACACATCTTTATATCAAGAGGCAGATTGTTCCATAAAAGAAATGCAGAATAATGAAAAGTACGTTTCGTGGTTTCCGTTTTGCATTTGGGGAGGAAAAGAGATTTACTGGTCTGTGAACGGAGCAAGATATCAGTTTTGAAAACAAGAGATTTTTCAATAAAATAGGAGTTTAAAGTATTAAATGTAATAATTTTGAATGATAAGACAATTTTATTATAAAGAATCCTCTGTGTAAGGGGAAGCCAACCGAGTTTAGTAAATAAAGATGTGGACGGAGTCTCAATTGGGGTTGCAATTGGTGCATCAAGAATACTTCTTGCTGACCTTTTTTGTAAAATTTTAATAGAAAGTCTAATCTATTCCTGACACCTGTTACCACTGTTTGTCGTGTAATTTGTACACGAGGAGCAGTCCATTTGCTGATGACACTATTTTGCTTGAATACACTATTTTGCCTATAACGTTTTTTAGGACTTCGAATTCTGTCTTATGGTTTGGATTGTTCGTACTTGGTTTTATTTTATTTGGTAGCATTCCCCCAAATAATAGAGCAATGGTCAAATATTGGTAGTACAGTCAAATATTGTATGTACTGTAACTATTATAAAACAAAATTCTTGTCTCGTAAGGTAAATGTCTTTTATCATATTTAGGAGAAATACTTTTGATGCAGGTTTTTTTAGACATATGTGCTATTACTGCTATCAGTGTTTCCCAATAAAGGTCTTGGTCAATTAGAATTCCAAGTAATTTTGCGGTAGTAACCATCTCAATTTTCTCACCATGACGTGATAAAGTTAGGTTTTCAGATTTCTTTTGACGATATCAGCATTGATTTTGTTTTCGAGGGATTGATTACCATTCCATTGTTTTCACACCCTTTAGCAACCAAATAGAGATCATTTTGGAGATTATTGGCGATGGATACAATATATTTGTGTGAACAATGCAGGGTACTGTCATCCGCTAACAAATCTATCTGGCTTGATTCAATATTGAGTGGGAGATCATTTATAAAAAAAAATAATAGGAGAGGACCCAGGATCGACACTTCTGAAAACCTGCATTTGACTGTAGTAATTGAGGAGGTAATTGATCCTAAACAGACTGTTTGCTTCCGGTGTCAAGATATGATTCAATCAAAATTTGTGAATTTTTATCAAGTTTTTCGATAATAAGCTTGTGACCAATGAGATCAAATGCTTTGCTAAAATCAAAGATACACTATACCACTCATTGCACCATTATCGATAGCATGAAGCCAATTAGCTGTCATTCGGATTAGTGCAGTTGCACATGAATGACTTGAACTAAATTCAGATTGGTACGCATAAAGAACATTGAATGTTTCCAAATATTTCGATTTTTTTTTAAATTGTGGGGAGAATTGAGATTGGCCTATCTGCCTTGTCAACCACACTGTCCACATCTAGCTAGCAATATTTGCATATTTAAAGATTATAACAACTTACCGTTTGATAAGAAACTGAATCGTCACTTAACAAGTTTATAATCTGGTTCAAACATACGTTGATCCGGTTTCGTCTTTTCTTTTCAGCTAACAATTTTCGCCCTTTTCTAAAAGAAGTATAAGAACGAGATTCCATTAATAAAGTTTAAACAGGTAGATGTGTTAAGGTAGAATGTTTCATGTTTAACTGATGAATTATTGTTATTGTTGTTTATTAAAGATTTAACGTCCAATACATTAAATATGATATTATGGACAGGTTGATTTAATTAAACTATTTACATTTAATGGGTTTAAAATTGGTAAAAACATACGATACAAAGGTCCGTGTATTTCAAAGGTATCCTTAAAATTGGTAAAAACACAACATAAAAAGTCCTTGTATAATTAAAAAAAAAAGTCAATTTAAAGCACACTTATAAAATAGCTGTCGTGATAAGAGAGGGCGTGTCATCTTCTTCCTTTGTCATAATAAAAACATGTTAAAACAGGAGATCCAGCTGACTAAAGTTTGGCGTCATCAGTGCGGGTAGAAACAAACCCGTGGGGAAAAAAATCCGCTTGCGTTATGTGAAAAAGCGAAGTGCTCGCAGTAGAAACCACATAGCTGGACCCGAGCATTATTTACATATTAAAAACTGTTCGTCCAATAAGTTCCATAGGGTTAAAAGTTAGTTAAAGTCTTCTAATATGGTTCACAGCGCCAGGGATTAAAAGTTAAGGTCATTCCATTAGAATTATTTAGAAATCAAATATTTTATACCATTCCTCCACATAACTGTAAACAATAATACCACGTGTCTACTCGACGTCATTGAAGCATGCCGTTACAATCAGCCAATCAGTGACGTTAATAGCGTATCGGCACGCAAATCGATTAGGCGCGAGGCAGATGTTAGGATCATCCTAATTGTCTGGCACAATCTAGTAAACGAGATTAATGGAGAAAGTTCGCGTGACACTTGGCGTGTGTTGAAGATATGACATCAAGTAGATGATTATTATAACGGTATTTATAAAGCTGATAACAAGACAGTCTGTTAGTTAACTTTATATTATCAAAAAACAGGTGCGCGTATATAATGAAACTAATTTGATACCCTCTTAAACTTTCTTTCAAATTAAATTTGTTTAGTCTAAGAAAGACAATTTGGGGCGAGAAAATCCACGATTGGGTTTTCTGCTTTCTAAAATTCAAATCCTTTATGGGGGTTTTCAACTTTTCAGTCTTCACTGGATAACCATTTACATAGGTAAAACTATATTTTACATAAATGATCTGACATACTACTGCGACATCGCTTTTAATAGACTTTCATTTTATTCAACTTTATACAGGTGTTCTCGGTAAGTAATTGGAAATATTAAAATTCTCTTTTGAATCAAGGTTAGATAATTCTGATATGATTTGATTGGATTAATTTCAACCTCTGCCTTAAGTTTTAATTTTCTTTCTGGGGTTTTCACTATGCTGGTATTAGGGTGTCATTTATGATATAGAATAGTAACCTTTACTTAATAAAAACTAGGGAACCCCTATTTAAACAGTACTAACAATATATGTAGATATCCATCTGTTGAAGTGTTACATTCTGGATTGATATAATTATAGCAGGAGGGATGGTATCATTAACTGTTAGGTTGGGTGGATATCTATTGAAGTGTTATATACTGAAATTTATCAGGAGGGATGGTATCATTAACTGTTAGATTGATAAAATTAAATAGAATGTGACATTTGAATTAGATTAGATTAAGTAGATTTAAACGAGGTTAGATTTAGACACCTAGACTATGATATTGGTGATAGGGTTGATTAATTAGTCCATAGATCCAATTAATCCTCGGGATATTTAACAGTTTTAAGTATTGATCTGTAAAATGATTAAGTGAGTTGGTTTGAAACACGGTGATGAGATTCTAGGTCGGTACACGGTCTAGCTTTTTTCTGTGTATTGCATAGTCATTAAACAGAAACTAATTTTGTGGTTACAGAATCGAAGTTTTTTTTCTAGTGATATCTAGATACAATAGGAAGTTTGTTTATACTTAAAGAATTGATATCAGCAGAGGAAGATGGTCCCAGGAAAAGATATATGTAGACCCCTTTCTCACAACCTATTAAATTATCACACTTGGCGGTTATCGTGATAGCAGTTCAATAACGGATATCCCTATGTAACGGTATTTTGTTGTCATTTTACATAATGAATTGATTTTCCCGGACACACAAAAGTGGCTGAGTATCGTCAAATACTCTTTGAAGCCTTGTGTCTAGTGGACGTTAAACCCCATTTCTCACGCCTGATCATTTCATACCCCTATACATAATTAGTAGAAATTAGAAAGGTAACGGACGTATAACATAGCTAATATATATCCGCTTAATTTTTAATTTGATATCAGACTTCCCGAAGCGTCTTTTATTTCTGCATCGTCTACTATATCGCGTCTTAATTAATAATCCTACAACTTTAACATAAATAAGGCTATCCAAGCTAGGTCTACAGTATATGAATGCAAATCTTAAACACACAGGTGTTTTGTGTTCGTAGAATCCTATTGTACCTTGCTGCATAATCGAGATTCTGGTACCGTATTGGCAAACCTCAATGGTACTGGTATGTCCAATGTCAACGATTCTGGAAATTGCCAGTGGCTAACCTCAGTGATTCTGATATTTACAGTGGTTAACCTCAGTGATTCTGATAGTGATTCTGATATTTACAGTGGCTAAACTCAGTGATTCTGATATTTACAAAACTCAGTGATTCTGATATTTACAGTGGCTAACCTCAGTGATTCTGGTATTTCCAAAGGCGAATCTCAATGATTCTGATATTTACAGTGGCTACCCTCAATGATCCTGGAAATTTCCAGTGGCTAACCTCAGTGATTCTGGTATTTCCAGTGGCTAACCTCAGTGATTCTGATAATTCGAAATGACTTCTCGCAAGTTGACAACAATAAATAACAATGGATTCAGAAATATTTAAAGATATCAAACTTTAATAATAAAACAAAAACTTAACAAAGAAAACAATTTCAAGTAATACAAATCAAAATCAACAAATAAATAATATCAATGTAATATAATATTGTCTATTTAGCAACTATTCTTATTGTTTATATACATTGTTGTCAATAATATTGTCTATTTTACTAATAATTCCAAACATTGTTCCCTATATTCACTGGGGTTGAAAGTCAAAGTTAAATAATTTCAATATTTTGTATTCGCCACTACCCATCTACTTTGTATTGACCAAGGTCTCCAAACACGACTGTTATTGTTCATAGTATTGTTACTAATAAAACTGTTCTTGTTTTTATTACAGTCTAAAGTCACATTGCTGTTTTCCACACACCTGGTCTGTTGGTATTTACCAAGGTCTCCAAACACTACTGTTATTGTTTATAATATTATTATTACTAATAAAACTGTTATTGTTATTATTAGAGTCTACTGTTGTATTCACCAAGGTCTCCAAACACTACTGTTATTGTTAATAATATTATTATTACTAATAAAACTGTTATTGTTATTATTAGAGTCTACTGTTGTTTCAGTTTTAATATTTTGTCTATAATTATGTCCATCTAATGGTACTGCTAATGATGGGTTATAATTAATATACCTTTGGTTTTCACTTCTAAATGAATATTGTCCATTTATACTTGTTAATATTCCAGGATATTGAACAGAATTTATATTACTGTTATAATGTGTTGATTGGATATTGCGAGACACGTGTTGAATCAAAGCATATTTCACATTGTCAGACACTTCCGTTACTCCCCCTAAAAATGACGTCATTTCCTGGAAACATCGAGTAAATCCTTTTTGATATTTGATTTCTTTTTCTCTTGGAGATGAATATTTAGTTTTCTTGATGAACTCAACTGCAGATTCCAGAATGTCCGCCTTTTCCATTTTATTATCATCAAGTTCCTAAAAGGTTAGAAAAAAACAGTTCATGAGATTTGATAAACAAATACATCCACTGTTTTAAAATAATATAATTTTATTTAGAATGCTGACATAGTAAATTTCTGTCTGAACTGAATAGTATAACAACTTACGATTCATGAAAAAAGTAATCCCGTTTTATTAACCGAGTTTAATTTGATTTATAATGTTGAATAAGTACAAGGAAGAGATTATAACAACTTACCCTTTCAGAAAAAACTGAATCGTCACATAACAAGTTTTTAATCTGGTTCAAACATTCGTTAATTCTGTTTCGTCTTTTCTTTTCTGCCAACAATTTTCGACCCTTTCTAAAAGAAGTATAAGATTGCGATTCCATGATTTAAAGTTTAAACAGGTAGATGTGTTCAGGTAGAATGTTTCAAGTTTGACTGATAAATTATTTAGACATAGATATTTTATACCATTCCTTCACATAACTGTAAACAATAATACCACGTGTCTACTCGACGCCATTGAAGCATGCCGTTACAATCAGCCAATCTGTGACGTTGATAGTGTATCGGCACGCGAGTAGATTAGGCTCGAGACAGATGTTAGGATCATCCTAATTGTCTGGCACAATCTTGCAGACGAGATTAATGGAGAAAGTTAGCGTGACACTTGGCGTGTGTTGAAGATATGACATCAAGTAGATGATTATTATAACGGTATTTATAAAGTTGATAACAAGACAGTCTGTTAGTAAACTTTATATTATCAAAAAACAGGTGCGCGTATATAATGAAACTAATTTGATACCCTCTTAAACTTTCTTTCAAATTAAATTTGTTTAGTCTAAGAAAGACAATTTGGGGCGAGAAAATCCACGATTGGGTTTTCTGCTTTCTAAAATTCAAATCCTTTATGGGGGTTTTCAACTTTTCAGTCTTCACTGGATAACCATTTACATAGGTAAAACTATATTTTACATAAATGATCTGACATACTACTGCGACATCGCTTTTAATAGACTTTCATTTTATTCAACTTTATACAGGTGTTCTCGGTAAGTAATTGGAAATATTAAAATTCTCTTTTGAATCAAGGTTAGATAATTCTGATATGATTTGATTGGATTAATTTCAACCTCTGCCTTAAGTTTTAATTTTCTTTCTGGGGTTTTCACTATGCTGGTATTAGGGTGTCATTTATGATATAGAATAGTAACCTTTACTTAATAAAAACTAGGGAACCCCTATTTAAACAGTACTAACAATATATGTAGATATCCATCTGTTGAAGTGTTACATTCTGGATTGATATAATTATAGCAGGAGGGATGGTATCATTAACTGTTAGGTTGGGTGGATATCTATTGAAGTGTTATATACTGAAATTTATCAGGAGGGATGGTATCATTAACTGTTAGATTGATAAAATTAAATAGAATGTGACATTTGAATTAGATTAGATTAAGTAGATTTAAACGAGGTTAGATTTAGACACCTAGACTATGATATTGGTGATAGGGTTGATTAATTAGTCCATAGATCCAATTAATCCTCGGGATATTTAACAGTTTTAAGTATTGATCTGTAAAATGATTGAGTGAGTTGGTTTGAAACACGGTGATGAGATTCTAGGTCGGTACACGGTCTAGTTTTTTTCTGTGTATTGCATAGTCATTAAACAGAAACTAGTTTTGTGGTTACAGAATCGAAGTTTTTTTTTCTAGTACAATAGGAAGTTTGTTTATACTTAAAGAATTGATATCAGCAGAGGAAGATGGTCCCAGGAAAAGATATATCTAGACCCCTTTCTCACAACCTATTAAATTATCACAGTTGGCGGTTATCGTGATAGCAGTTCAATAACAGATATCCCTATGTAATGGTATTTAATCCTTGAGTGGCATTTAGCGATTGAACACATTAAAAACACAACACAGTTTATATGGAAATACAATCACTGGTTTATAAGTATAGCACGACGTTTCGACAAGTATTCTCTTATCGTTATCAAGCACAAATGATGAAGAGAATACTTGTCGAAACGTCGTGCTATACTTATAAACCAGTGATTGTATTTCCATATAAACTGTGTTATGTTTTTAATGGTATTTTGTTGTCATTTTACATAATGAATTGATTTTCCCGGACACACAAAAGTGGCTGAGTATCGTCAAATACTCTTTGAAGCCTTGTGTCGAGTGGACGTTAAACCCCATGTCTCACGCCTGATCATTTCATACCCCTATACATATTTAGTAGAAATTAGAAAGGTAACGGACGTATAACATAGCTAATATATATCCGCTTAATTTTTAATTTGATATCAGACTTCCCGAAGCGTCTTTTATTTCTGCATCGTCCACTATATCGCGTCTTAGTTAATAATCCTACAACTTTAACATAAATAAGGCTATCCAAGCTAGGTCTACAGTATATGAATGCAAATCTTAAACACACAGGTGTTTTGTGTTCGTAGAATCCTATTGTACCTTGCTGCATAATCGAGATTCTGGTACAGTATTGGCAAACCTCAATGGTTCTGGTATGTCCAATGTCAACGATTCTGGAAATTGCCAGTGGCTAACCTCAGTGATTCTGATATTTACAGTGGCTAAACTCAGTGATTCTGATATTTACAGTGGCTAACCTCAGTGATTCTGGTATTTCCAAAGGCGAATCTCAATGATTCTGATAATTACAGTGGCTACCCTCAATGATCCTGGAAATTTCCAGTGGCTAACCTCAGTGATTCTGGTATTTCCAGTGGCTAACCTCAGTGATTCTGGTATTTCCAGTGGCTAACCTCAGTGATTCTGATAATTCGAAATGACTTCTCGCAAGTTGACAACAATGAATAACAATGGATTCAGAAATATTTAAAGATATCAAACTTTAATAATAAAACAAAAACTTAACAAAGAAAACAATTTCAAGTAATACAAATCAAAATCAACAAATAAATAATATCAATGTAATATAATATTGTCTATTTAGCAACTATTCTTATTGTTTATATACATTGTTGTCAATAATATTGTCTATTTTACTAATAATTCCAAACATTGTTCCCTATATTCACTGGGGTTGAAAGTCACAGTTAAATAATTTCAATATTTTGTATTCGCCACTACCCATCTACTTTGTATTGACCAAGGTCTCCAAACACGACTGTTATTGTTCATAGTATTGTTACTAATAAAACTGTTCTTGTTTTTATTACAGTCTAAAGTCACATTGCTGTTTTCCACACACCTGGTCTGTTGGTATTTACCAAGGTCTCCAAACACTACTGTTATTGTTTATAATATTATTATTACTAATAAAACTGTTATTGTTATTATTAGAGTCTACTGTTGTATTCACCAAGGTCTCCAAACACTACTGTTATTGTTAATAATATTATTATTACTAATAAAACTGTTATTGTTATTATTAGAGTCTACTGTTGTTTCAGTTTTAATATTTTGTCTATAATTATGTCCATCTAATGGTACTGCTAATGATGGGTTATAATTAATATACCTTTGGTTTTCACTTCTAAATGAATATTGTCCATTTATACTTGTTAATATTCCAGGATATTGAACAGAATTTATATTACTGTTATAATGTGTTGATTGGATATTGCGAGACACGTGTTGAATCAAAGCATATTTCACATTGTCAGACACTTCCGTTACTCCGCCTAAAAATGACGTCATTTCCTGGAAACATCGAGTAAATCCTTTTTGATATTTGATTTGTTCTCTTGGAGATGAATATTTAGTTTTCTTGATGAACTCAACTGCAGATTCCAGAATGTCCGCCTTTTCCATTTTATTATCATCAAGTTCCTAAAAGGTTAGAAAAAAACAATTCATGAGATTTGATAAACAAATACATCCACTGTTTTAAAATCATATAATTTTATTTAGAATGCTGACATAGTAAATTTCTGTCTGAACTGAATAGTATAACAACTTACGATTCATGAAAAAAGTAATCCCGTTTTATTAACCGAGTTTAATTTGATTTATAATGTTGAATAAGTACAAGGAAGAGATTATAACAACTTACCCTTTGAGAAAAAACTGAATCGTCACATAACAAGTTTTTAATCTGGTTCAAACATTCGTTAATTCTGTTTCGTCTTTTCTTTTCTGCCAACAATTTTCGACCCTTTCTAAAAGAAGTATAAGATTGCGATTCCATGATTTAAAGTTTAAACAGGTAGATGTGTTCAGGTAGAATGTTTCAAGTTTGACTGATAAATTATTTAGACATAGATATTTTATACCATTCCTTCACATAACTGTAAACAATAATACCACGTGTCTACTCGACGCCATTGAAGCATGCCGTTACAATCAGCCAATCTGTGACGTTGATAGTGTATCGGCACGCGAGTAGATTAGGCTCGAGACAGATGTTAGGATCATCCTAATTGTCTGGCACAATCTTGCAGACGAGATTAATGGAGAAAGTTAGCGTGACACTTGGCGTGTGTTGAAGATATGACATCAAGTAGATGATTATTATAACGGTATTTATAAAGTTGATAACAAGACAGTCTGTTAGTAAACTTTATATTATCAAAAAACAGGTGCGCGTATATAATGAAACTAATTTGATACCCTCTTAAACTTTCTTTCAAATTAAATTTGTTTAGTCTAAGAAAGACAATTTGGGGCGAGGAAAATCCACGATTGGGTTTTCTGCTTTCTAAAATTCAAATCCTTTATGGGGGTTTTCAACTTTTCAGTCTTCACTGGATAACCATTTACATAGGTAAAACTATATTTTACATAAATGATCTGACATACTACTGCGACATCGCTTTTAATAGACTTTCATTTTATTCAACTTTATACAGGTGTTCTCGGTAAGTAATTGGAAATATTAAAATTCTCTTTTGAATCAAGGTTAGATAATTCTGATATGATTTGATTGAATTAATTTCAACCTCTGCCTTAAGTTTTAATTTTCTTTCTGGGGTTTTCACTATGCTGGTATTAGGGTGTCATTTATGATATAGAATAGTAACCTTTACTTAATAAAAACTAGGGAACCCCTATTTAAACAGTACTAACAATATATGTAGATATCCATCTGTTGAAGTGTTACATTCTGGATTGATATAATTATAGCAGGAGGGATGGTATCATTAACTGTTAGGTTGGGTGGATATCTATTGAAGTGTTATATACTGAAATTTATCAGGAGGGATGGTATCATTAACTGTTAGATTGATATAATTAAATAGAATGTGACATTTGAATTAGATTAGATTAAGTAGATTTAAACGAGGTTAGATTTAGACACCTAGACTATGATATTGGTGATAGGGTTGATTAATTAGTCCATAGATCCAATTAATCCTCGGGATATTTAACAGTTTTAAGTATTG